GAGCCAAAAGTAGGAGTAGGATGAGGCTGGTCCCTGGCTCTAGCCCTGTCCCTGAGCTGGGAATGGAACCCAGGAGTTCTAGCTGCCGGTGCCTTGCGCCAGCCACTGCTGCCGGTGCCTCTCGGCACGTGCGGTTTAGTGCCGTTCCTGGCCGAGTCTAATGCTCTGCCCCCGTTTGTGTCTCGTAGGTGAAACGGCGGCCTCCATGCATTCCCCACGCTACCCCAGCCCAGCCGAACTGGACGCCTATGCACAGAAAGTCGCCAACAACCCCCTAACCATCAAGATCTTTCCCACCAACATCAGGGTCCCCCAGCACAAGCACCTTAACCGGACGGTCAATGGGTACGACACGACAGGGCAGCGCTACAGCCCCTACCCCGTGCATTCCAGCGGCTACCAGGGCCTCCTGGCCATCGTAAAGGCCTCGAGCAAAAGCATCGTGAAGAACTCGGAGGGCAAGCGGACTAAGATGTCTCCAGCGCAGGTGGCCATTGCCCCCTACCCAGTGTCAAGCACTTTAGCGCCAGGCCCCTCATGCGCCGGGCACTTGAATTATCACAGTACTCAGAAGCAGCTTGAGGCGCCAGTCCCCCCAAACGTGACCGTAGCTACGTCCGTGATCCCGCTCGCAGGCCGGAACCTGGCCCTGCAGCAGTCCAACTTGCCCTCGATCCAGAGCATCATCTACCAGCTCAATCAGCAGTGCCAGGCCCAGGGCTCCCAGCAGGCCTGCCACGGGGTGGTGGTGACCGACCCCAGCCCAGCTAAGCACGGCGCGGCCAGTGGCTTCGCTAGCATGGCGACGGCGGGCGCTGCCGTGGCCTATGCCGGTGCCGTCCTGCCCGACTGCCGCAAAGGTGCTGAACTCGCCATAAGCGCCAACCCGGCCATGACCGTCGGCCCCAAGGCCGGCATCTACCCGGACGGCATGGATTACCTTATCTGGCAGCAGAAACAGCAGCAGCTCCGAATGTACAGCGGGGGCAGCGGAGGGGGGGGCGCCGTCAGCAAGTCCCCAGAGACGTGTGCGGGGGTCTCGCGCCCCTACACCCTGACGGGCGCAGTGGAGAAGGTGAGCTCCTCCCCTTTGAACTGCGTGGCCATGCACGGCAACTTCTCGGTGGGCCAGTATTTTGCCCCCCCTTGGAACAGCATCTTGGTCACCCCCAACAGCGACTGTTACAACCCCCAGGAGCTCGCCAACGGGCACCGCGAGCTCGGCGTGCCCCCCTCCGACGGCCTGTCCAGCAAAACGCTCTGCAATACCTCCATCCTCAGCAGCAGCCTCCAGTCGCTGGAGTATCTCATCAATGACATCCACCCGCCGTGCATCAAAGAGCAGATGCTGGGGAAGGGCTACGAGACAGTGTCTGTGCCAAGGCTCTTGGACCATCAACACGCCCACATTCGCCTGCCCGTCTACAGATAAGAGCCTGGCGCTGCTTTCCAAACAAAGGGCCATGGTGGGAACTTGACTGGCATCCATTCTCCTCTCCGGCACCGCCAGGGTCTGTGGCGAAACAAAGCGAGGGCTCGGGGGGGGGGGCGTTCACGAAAGGGGCTGGGGGGCCCCAAAGACGCTGGAATTAATTGGGGTCATTGAACTGGATACACCTGAAACCCGCTGGAAGCCACGGACGAAGGAATGCTTGTTTCTAGAGCTCTGAAATGGTCATTTCATTTCCACGAATGTGAACAGGGAATCGCTACAAGTTGCTGCTATCCAGGGAGAGAAGGTTTCGCTCTGTGTGCGTGCGCGCGTGTGCGAGTGCGTGTCTGTGTGCGTGCGCCAGGCGGATCTGCATGTGGGAGAACCCCCAATTCTCTCCTGCGCTGAGTCCCTAGGAGAGTTTTAAGTAAAAGAAGAGCTCCAACCCCCCGATAATTCCATGCCATTGCAGCTTGGTCATGACCAGAAAGAGCTAATGCCTAATTTCTAGTTGAAGTCCATAACTTGCACTGCTTTGAGTAAAGCTAATAATTGGGGACAGTCTGGAGGCTATTTAAGAAAAAGAAAAACACTTGAAAACTTGAACAGATTTTTTTTTAGTTAAATATACTGTACATTTATGTGTTGGCTGCTACAGAGTCTCTTCCTCCACTCCCTCCCCCGCCCACCCCCATTGCTTGGGCCTAGTCTGTTACTTTCATTAAACCATACGTTTTTGATGCTTTCTCAGTGAAAAGGTTTCATTGCCTAGTTGCCCACACGGTGGGGGGAGAGCCACATTAAGCTAAGGAGCCAGGGACCTGGATGAGCAAAAAGGGCACCAAGTTAAGGATATTTTACCCTCCTCGTTGTTCTTGCAGTTTTCCAAGCATTTCCCTAGCCCCTGTGGTAAAGAGAGCGTCTGAGAGGGCAGAAGCAAAATGTGACTTATCTCGGACAGATCCAAGGCAGGGCCCCTGTTCTAATTTGTAAAAGAATCCACACCCGCTTAACAAACGCACCCTCACCCCATCCCAAATAGAAGAGCTTGTGATCTCCCTCCACCGCTCTCCAACCAGCTGATCATCCGCTAATCCGGCTGGGCACAAACGTAAATCTAGCTGAGCACCCGGCAAAGCAATTTCTTTTTTATTATCAGGAGATGAATGGGGAGCCATTATGGTGTCTCCAGGCTCTGGGAAGTCTGCTCAGAGGAGTGGTCCGTCTCCCCTCCCCCATCCCCATCCTCTACCCAGGTCCCGTCACAGGAACATTATGAATTCTAAGATTTCCGAGGTTGTTTTTTTTTCTTTACTGTCAATTATACCTTTGTTCTGTTGTAGAGGCAACTTGCAGGTGAAGAGAAGTAGAATCACATTTAATACATCTACTCATTGTACCAGGTTGTAATTTGCATACTTTATTTTCTTTTTTAAACAGTTCAAAAATGTTCATTATGGTCTGTTATTCAGTATGTGTAATTATGTGTTTAATAGATTTATTCATTTAAAAAAAGCGGTTCTACATTACAGAAAATACAAAGTTTTTTGATGTTTAAAGGAAAAAAAACCCACCCCAATGAAACCCAATGTGATTGTGCTCAGAAAAGAGGTACTGTATCCTTAAAAGGCCTGTTCAAGCACTAAGTGCATTTAGAAATCTCTGAGAATGTTTTTTTTATACTAAAATTGACCATTATATTCTACTGTGAGAAGTGCTGTCTGCACTATATTGTTTTAAAAATGAGAGAAAATGGAAAAAAAACAAAACAAAACCCACAAGCTGTGTGTCCGAATGTTGTTTTCCCAAAGTAAAACCAGGATATCATCGGCTGTGTGCTCTGGATTTTGTTTGCTGGCTGCGGCCTCTCCTGGATCGTTTCAGCCCCTCTGCAGGGGTGGGGGACAGGAATGGCGAAGGCGGAGAGCGCCAACAAAGGTTCCCGGGCGCCCACCCCACGGCGCGCTCAGGATTTTGGCACTCGCGGCAAGTAAGAGAAGCAATTTCCTGACTCTTGGGGCAGGCGGGCAGGAGAACAATCTGCAGCCAGCAGGGCGGGTCATGGGCGGTGTGGAACTTGCCTTGTACTGACTATTACCTGGCCCCTCAGCCTTGGCCGGACAGTTACATGGGGTCTGGTTCCTGCCCGGCTGATAACGTCGTTTGGTTAGGCCTGTGCTGACTGGCCTCACGCGCCTAAGGGAGTCATGCTGTGCCTGGGTCTTGCCAAAGTTAGGACAACTGTCTGGAACCGTGGGGCTGTGAGCTCCCAGGTCCATTTGTATAGTCCCTCTGGCGCGCTGTCTGTTCGGGGACCTGCTTCCCCTCCCAGTGCCAGCGAGGGTTCGGATGGTTCTGTCTTTAATTCACACCCCTCTCCCAGGGCAGCATGTGCATTACGGACAGGTTTTACACAGTGCAAGAACATAGAAAGACAGGCCCCTGGGCCACTGTGCGCTTAGGGCCAATTCTCCTGTTGGGTCAGCAGTCAGTCCCTCCCTCTGTGCATGTCTGTGCCCCTGAAAGACGGCAGGTCCCTGCTCCTGCCGTCCTTTGAGCAGAGCAGGCGCTCGCTCTCGATTTTCTTTATTGCAATTTTCAGGCCAAGATGTATCTTGCTCATAACCGCCGTCCCCCTGCAGGATTCCAAATTAGATGCAGTGCCACCTGGATAACGATCAATCATTTCGACTTGCCCTAGGAATTCCCCTGGAACCTAGACATAAAAACTGTCAAAGCCAGGATGGTGGTGCTGGGAACTGCGGCTTTTAGAAGAAAAGGCAAAGAGAAACAAAGAGAAGGGGCAAGAAGGTGCCAGGATATATAGTGCGATGCCATGCCCTGTTGTCAGAGCCACCTGCATCTCCATTGGTGGGTTGCAGGCTTAGCTGGAGGAGCTGAATAGGCTGGTGGCTGGGTTTTTTCAGCTATGGGGCAGAGCCGGATTAAGAGAGTTTGTCCTTGGTGCTGCCAAGCTGCCCAGGCACCAGGATGGGACTCTGTTTCTGAAGAACAGTGGCCGCTGCGGCTTGTCCTTGGGACGTATTCGCTCTGGGCTGTCCCCACAAAGGGGAGCGCACTGCTTGTACCCTTTCACAGGTGTGGAGGCGATAGTCCAACAGGTCTTTTCCATCTCAGTCGCTCAGATTTTTTAGGGCGCTTGGGCACCAAAGAAATGTCTATAAATAAATGTCTAATGCTAGTGAGCCATTAATCCAGCCTGGGCTCCAGCATCTGTGTCTCACCCAAACCAGCGCATTAAACAAAACCAGGATACACACACCCCCGCGTACATACATTGTACTTAATGTTTTTACCACCACTTGCTGCCAGACACCTGTCTCTCTTGCAAAGCACGTGCACCTAGCAAGATGCTGAAACGTGGTGCTCTCTGAGCCCAGCTTAACGGGGGCCACGTGGAAGGGAGAGCGGCGCTGGACAGCCCAAGCTACGGGGGAGGGAGGGAATCAGGGAGCACAACCTGGACTAAGGTCTATCCAAAAAAAAATCGCTCTCCCGGAGGCTTGGATTTCATGCTCAAGTTCTTTGGCTGAAGCTGCCTTTGGCTTCCCCAGCAGCGTGCCTGGGTTGTTGGAGCTGATGGGGTGGGGACGGGTTTGGCAAAGGCGTGTTTGGCTGAACACAGCCTGAGCAGTGAGGCTTTGTAGGCCCCTGCATGGCTCCTGGCATGTGGTTAATTGGGGGAATGGCCAGGGGGGCGGGGAACAGCTGTCTGGGCTGGTCTGAAATGGAAATCTCCCTGGGGTTCCGTTCAAGGCCCCTGCATGGCACCTCGCTGCAGAGGCAGCTGGGCTGGGGCAATCCTCGCTCGCCCTGCAGTGGAAGAACTGGCCACTGGCAAGGCTCTGAAGGCTATCAACTTCTGCCCAGCATGCCAGGTGGGCTCCCCACCCGGCCCTGGAGCAATCCGGTGCTTGAGGTGCACTGTATACAAAGTGCCCCAGCTGAGAAATCAGCCCTGCGTTTTTCCTCCCCTTTTCCAGGCACATCTCTCCGGCGAATGTTCTCACCTCTTCAGGGGGCTGTGGTGGGTAAATGCTCCGGAGGGGGGCAAGGGGCTTTGTTTGTGGGAAAGGAAGGCAGGCTCCACTCTATTTGTGAATCCACTGTCTCTGCTAACTCCACTCAGCTCCCACTACTCTGTTCCACCTACGGTGACCCTCTCCGCTCTGGCAGCGGCAGCAGATTCCTGGCCCAAACAATGAGCCGCTTGCATTAGGATAATAGTATTAAATTCCAAATAGATTTCAACTCCGGGCTGCTATCACTCAGCCCCTTGTCTCCCTCAGCTGTGGAGACACTGCGACATATGGTGTTCCATTATCTGAGCCTACGGCCTAGCAAAAAGGCTTTAATGCTTAAACAAACAGAGAGGCGGCCTTCGAAGGCTGTGCGTGTTCACTTGAGGATGGCATTTGATCACAAATCTGAAAGGAATTTTGTTTTCACTCGCTCGCCCCGCGGTGCTCAGCCCCGCGGAAAGAGGCGGCTTTGTTCTTCCTGTCGCCCAATAATGGGAAAGAAATAGCCTAATAAAAATGCTGATTGTGCCGAATGGTTGGATGTTTATGCGTTGAGCCCGGCTCCCATTCAAGGGCAAAAATTCAGCACGGAGGCCTAGGAAGGATTTGTTTGTAATTCTGCACAATACACAGAGGAAATCCTGGAAAAATATGGGTTGGTTCCATATTTCACATCTTGTTACTGCTGTTTTGTTAACCAAATGAGATTTGGCCTAGCGGAGAGAGGGCTTAGCAAACCGGGCGGCTGTGGATACAGTTCGGTCGGGGAAGGGGAGCTGTGTTTTCATCGCAGAGCCGGAGATCATTTCCAGCGCTGTGAGCTCAGCCCTTGTGACTCCTGCGCTGACCCCGGCGCTGCCTTCGCTTGATGTAGGGGGAAATGGTTCTTGCCTTAGTTTGCGTTTTGCCAAACTGCCTCCATTTGTTTCTCCCTGGCGCATGCGGCAGGGAGCCTCGGGACACAGGGTTTGATTCCCTCTGCTGGTGGAAAGCTGCTTCTAAAACCAGCTACTAATAAACCCCCTGGCCTAGCACGTGCCTCGAAAGCAGCTGGGTGTAAGCTGGGAGGAGAGCAGCAGCCGAGCAGGAGTTTAATCACATCTGCCCAACCACAGATGCAATAACCAGCAAGGGGTGGACTATTGCAGTGCTCAGCCTGGTCCTAGTGCTCTTGAGAGCATCGAACGCAGTCGCCCTTCAAGTGGGCGGTTCGGAAGCGTCCCCCAGATTCCAGGGCTGTTTGCAGTGAGGTTTGATGGCCTGTCTCTGTTGGGCACGGATAGCCTGGGAAACCGGAGCCATGCGTGCGGCATAACCTGCTTGTCAGACACAGCAGTCGCTCTCTGCGGGTCCCTCCAATCGCAGTTTGCACCCTGTGCTTTGGAAGACTTCGCTGCTCCTGCTCCACTCCCCTCCATCTACATCCGACCCCAGCCAGCAGCCACCTGGGACAGACTGAGAGCCCGAGACCTGCCGAAGCCTCCTGGGGGCGATGTCAATGGAACTAAGACCCTGGCCTCAGGTAACCCGCCAGCTTCCTCACATGGGCTGGGGGCAAGCTCCCGTCAAACCAGGAAGCACCCAAGAAGCTTAGTGAGGCCTCTGGCTGTTTTGAGTAGCGCCCCCAGGCCCTTGTGGGTCCCTGCCCACAGCACCAGCCAGCCGCTCGCCCAGGGCTGCTCATTCTTGTCTTGGTAGCCGCATTTCAAGGGCGTCTTGGAGAGTGGCTAATCCTCAAGAGGTGGCGGAGGCAGCAGGCCAGATTCGTTCCTCTCTTCAGCGCTGCTGGGGGGCGTCAGGGGATCGGCTTCTTCCTGTCGGCTTCCAGCTTCTGATTTTTGACTGGCAAAACGCTTTCCTCCCGCTGCGCCCAGGGGACGCGCTGCGCTGCAAAGCTGCTTCTCACACGCCAGCCACGCTCCAGTCCTCGGCCCTCTGGCGTTCTCTGATCTCCCTGGCCCCAGTTCTGTACCGGCCGTACATAAGAACGGCCATACTGGGTCAGACCAAAGGTCCATCTAGCCCTGTATCCTGTCTTCCCACAATGGCCAATACCAGGTGCACCAGAGGGAATGAACAGAACAGGGAATCATTGAGTGATCCATCCCCTGTCATCCATTCCCAGCTTCTGGCAAACAGAGGTGAGGGAGACGCAAACGATTTTTCATCCCTGCCCAATCCTCCGGCAAAGGAAATCGGCAGGACTACTCACGTGAGTAAAGTTACACAGGTATGTCAGCATCGACAGGGTTTGCAGCCTCCCAGTGTTCGAGAAAGTTGATCTAGCTTTTGCCTCTCAGGGTTACATGATCAGCGGCAAATGTGATCAATGTGTGAAACATACCTAGATGATAAATGCATTTCTGTAACACAATCATCAGAGCTGGATGGAAAGCAAAACCGCTGAGAGTAATGAGTTTGTGTTCCAGTCCAGTATTGATTTATTCAGAACACGTGGAGAGTGATATTGCACTACAGTTCTGCTTTGCTGGTTTGTCTCAAGGAAACCTATCTGCGTTTGATTCCATCCGCTGACGAATTGGAATTCACACGCTCAGAAACCAGCAAACGCACCCTCCCTACTGAAACGCTCCGGCAGAGTTAGAGCCGGGGTGGATGGGTTCCTGGCGATTGGTGAGTGCAGCAGGAGGTAAGAAAGCTGATCAGTTTCAGTTCAGTCAAATGAAATTAAAAAATTGCATGAGCCTTTTAAGAATATGGCTCTTTCTGCCATGTCGAATGTTAATAGCCCTCGAGGCCAGTGTCACGTGC